GTTTTTGTACTTTTACTTTTTGAAATAAAGTATGTTATATATGTGTCAAGAAAATATATTTCTTTCATAATTGGCGCAATTTAAAAAGATTTCATTTTATTTTGTGAGGCTAACACACTTGGCGCCTTTTTTTCCTTTTTTTTAAAAAGGTAATTTTGTTGAGTTGTAGAAATACGCAATTAGCAAAAAACTTTCATTGTACTCTCTTTACAAAAAAAATATATACATATAAATATAATGATCATTTAAGATTCTTTTGTAACTTATTTTTGAGGAATGGACGATGAAATGAATGAAAAAACAATGGCAGGTATATGTGTATACATAATAACTAATATGTAATATAATAAGTATAACGTGTATATATAATATAAGTAATGACTATATTTATTAAGAAATTTTGATAATCATTACATTTGAAGAAGGCTCAATCACGGAGCCGAAACATGTCATGTATGCATACGAAATTTAATTAAATTCAAAATTTTTATATATAGGAAAATTTAATTTGTAATGTTTCGTTGACTCTCAGAGTTGCCCTTATTATTATCCTCTATTGTTTCAGCATAAATAAATACATAAATAAATAAGGTGGAATTGTACAATAGTATTAATCGATGAAATTGTCAGTGCTCTTGGTGAAAATTTTTCATATAATTTAAAAATATTTTTAATAAAGAATTTAAAATCTAGATTTGTTTATACGAATGTTTATACGAATTCACATATAATAAAAAATTATTGTATAAGAAAAAGTGTATTCTTTCTCAATACTTCTAAAAGCGTTTTAATTCATGTAAAAATTCTGACAAATTTTCACTAGGAGTTTCGTGATATTTTTGTTTGATTGTAAAAAGTTAACCTAACCAGATTAGCTATTTATATTTACACTATCAATTTGTTTATGCGTTAATATGCAATATTTCAACCTTACCATGCGTTAAATTTACATTTTCCTCGCACACTTCGATCCATTTTGCAGCAATTTCAGGGTCTTTAGGAAACCTGAAATATTTTATTTCCTCTCCTTTCATTCTTACCGTTTCGATAATAATTATTGCAGACTTTTACTGCACAAACAGCCATTATTTTTAATAAAAACTCTTGCTTACTTTACCGCTTTAACGAATATCATAAATACGGCAGCCCATATTTCATTGGCACTCAGAGTCCGAAAGCATCCGAAAGTAGCCGAATGTGACGTAAACTGAGTGATGCGCAAAGGCTTTCTAAATTCGTCCACCGGATGAGCATACCCTTGTGTTTATACCATGTATATAACTCTCTTTCTCGCTTTCTACAAATATCAAACCACATACATGAAGACAAGTGTACGTCCCAGGGTCCGTTCTGCGTCGAGCGTTGAGAACATGACCTGAGACCATTGGTTATACGCGAAGTAAGAGCTCCCGCGCAAATTATTGTAAATTTCTGACCATTAAAATAAGACGCGATCATGAAGGAAGATATAAGGAGACTCCACTCAGTCTCGCCAGTCTACAAAATATGGAACCATTTTAGGTTTCGAATTCAGTTTCCGATTCTCGACACTCGCAGCGCTCGTGAATTTAGTAGTGTTTGAGTGCGAGTAAGAGAAATGATCATTTCTCATTCGCACTCATTTATGCGCAACACTACTAAATTCACGAGCGCTGCGAGTGTCAAGAATCGGAAACTGAACTCGAAACCTAAAATGAGTCCACTTTGATTTTACAGAGTGGAGTCTCCTTATATCTTACTTCCTGGACGCGATTAATGAAAAGTATAGTAGGGTCGGAGTCTTCCCACGGTCTATCTTCTTCCGCGTCTAAATATATCAGGAATCCTTCGAGGGTGCGCGGACAGCCACGACAGGTCGTGAGGGCGCGAGCGACTGCTAGTGCTGCCGAGCACGTTCCACAGATCTCGATCTGGTCATGGCGACCTAATTGGATGTAATGTAAGAGAACTCCCGCGTAACTCTCTTTTCCGTTATCCGTGAGGGCTCCGTAGCACTCAGTGCACCTGATTTCGCGATGTTCTCGATGTGAATAATATAAAGCCGACATACAACGGGCGCTTTGCACCCACGTGAAGTAGGGGTCAAGAATAAAGACACGACCGTTATTAGAGGAGCGCGAGTTGGGAGATGTCGGGCACATTCCGTGTTCCTCTCTTGCGTACTTAGTTAGCGCTGTTTTGAGCTTCCCGGCAAAGGTTGAAATCCGTAGCTCCCATTGGCCGGCATCGAGATTGGTCAGCGTTGTTTATTGGTCGTGGGATCCGCGGCTTCCGTTGGCTGGCATCGAGATTGGTCGGCGTTACCATATATGTAATACTACTATATGGCTAGATGAGAGAGAAGTCCATGTCCCAGAACCACGATGCGGAAATATACTTCTCTCTCTTTCTCAGCGTACTTTGAACGTTGTGCGCATGCGTCGGATTCATCCCCTCCATCAATAATAAATAGAAGGATAAATATACATATATGTGTAAGGAAGAAGGAAAAAGTGATTGATTCCGCTTCAGGGTATAACCTTGTTACAGTTAACAGAGTCAGTTTAGTCGGAATAAATAAATTAATCCTAATTTTATGAAATAAACTTTTTCAA